TTGGGCAGTGTTGTAATGTTTGATGTTTATTGGATCAACCTTTTCTAATAAGGGTTGAATTCTGTATTTCAGGTTAATTTATCTCTAATGAAAGTTATCGTATATGATAAAAAAAAAGAATAGAAATGAAAAGATATTTAGGGTTTCTTTATTGATAAGATATAATGTGGTTTAAGCATGGCCTTGTCAAATAAACTCAAATATTTTCCGGAAAGCTCCCTAGCAAAGGAATACCACACTATTACTTCACTCAACGACATCTCCAGAATGAATCCCAACTATATTAGTCATCTATGTTTCAGCTATTTCTAATAGAAAACCATTCACACAGGGATGTTTGGTTACCTATTGGCTAAGCCACTCCTTATGGAATCAATCCTTTGTCCAGGAAATGAAAATAGATAGATATATAATTTCATTTTCTGAAATTTCTTCAGAACATTTTGTTTTCCCTCTACGGTTCTAGGAAAATGGAAGGACAAAATGCATGTAAACTTTGACAATTTTCCAATTATTGGATTTTAGATATCATAATAATTATCAACACATGAACCAGTACCGAGTATACAGCAATGATTAGCAATGTAAAAAAATATAAACATACAAGTTTTTAAAAAGTTCTTTATTTTTCAAGGCGGTTTGGCACCAGAAATTCCTTGAAGGCTGAACTGCCGGCATTGCTACAAGGTCTCAAGCTAGCTAAAGGGTTGGGGTTTGGGCATATTGAGGTGGAACTGTGGAAGGAGACTCAAAAGTAGTCATTTGATGGGCAAGTTACAACAGACATACCCCTTGGAATTTCAAACATGTGATTAGGGAAGTGGAAAATATTGCGAAGGATGTAGAGGCAGAATTCAAGTGGGTCAGAAGGAGTGCAAATGGGCAAGCCGATTCCTTTGCCAAACAAGGGGCCTTGAGGCAACAACTATTTTAGGCAGCTATGTACCTTGGGAGTGAAGATTGTACTAATTTGGGATTAAAAGTTGGGAATGATACTCCTATCACCAAGTTGTACTCATTTTCTGTGGTTCAAACTTAATAATAAATAAAATATATTTATTTCTGATAAAAAATATTAAAATTTAATTTCAAGCTCTCTTAGATTATTTAAGAGGGTTGAGAGAGAGGGAAGAAAAACTCAACTCAACAAAGCTTTCAAGTTTCATCCCAACTACAGACCACACCAGGTCCCCCACCCACATTACTTTCTGTTATTGAAGTCACAACATTCAAATTACATCACCGTTTCCCATTACTCCCCAAAACAAGCTCCCTCTACTCACCCCCCTGCTTTGCCAATGTGTCTACCATGTCATTGGCAGACCTGTAAGTCCAGTTATAACTGATAACCAGGTTCCTTGTCAGCTGTTTCAGCTGTCTCATCATAAGTAATATCTCTTGTCAAATTGTAAGTCGTTGGATCATTTCTTATTAAATCTATGCCTTCTTTGGCCTTCCCCTTGCTCTTAGCCACTCAAATTAACATGAACCTTAAAAAGTTCTCTAACAATTAAATTTATAAAATAAAAATAAGTGCAAATTAACTCACATCAATATGTGGAAGAAAATATTAACTTCTTGGGCACTATCAGCTTGCCATGTGAAGAAAATTTTCAAAATTATACTCCAAGAAAATTAATGATAAAAAAATTATTCACCAAGAAAATTGTACAAATGAAGAACTGATCCTTAAAATAACAGCGAGAACCCCTCAGACCTTGGCTATTGGTGCAACAGTATTTCAGGAATGTACCTCACTCCACTAATTTTGACTGAATCTTTATTTGGATCACACTGAAAGGTATACTTTTGTTTTTGTGTAAGTGTATAACCTGATCTCTTGTACAGAGCCTTAGTATACATGAATACTGGTTTATGGTGAGTTTCTTGACATGCAGAAAACAGAAATACAATAAATACTTTTACCATTTTTGAAAAGAAAACGTATACATTTCAAAATATCCCTGTCATTTATGACCTGTAGTAGGATATGGTTTGATGAGTAAGTAATGTCTTGGCCTGCTAATTCACTCTTCTGATTTTGAAGAAAGTGGGTATGCCAGGCTAGGGATGTGGCTAATTTTTCCATTTGATTGATGCTTTGGAAGATACTTTGAGTTACTATCTTGTAGGGGCTTCATCATTTCAAAAGGTAGATTCATAAATGTTGATTAGGGGCATTTGATCTTTATATGCATCCAGAACATATTAGACATCTCCCCAGTCATCCTCCACCCAAAGGGTCAATTACATTATAGCTGAATTTCCTATTTCTTTTCTTTGTTAAAATGATGATTATGAACTGTCATATCCCCTCCCATGATGAGGAATAGAGAGCATGTCAATGCCAAACAATCAGGATAAGGCTTTCTTGAGTTGAGTTGAGGAATCAGGAAAACAGTATGGATAGAGGAATCATATATAGCAACAGTGGAAAGTTTGTAACACACACACCTCCATTGTGTTTTTCCTCTGCAACAAAAGGCACATCAAATAAGCTGTCAGAACAGTCATTATCAGGGAGTTCTGACATGCTGGAAAATTCACCATCCTTCATTTCAGAATGGAAATGAGCAACATCAACTCCAGCATCACATATTTGCTCAGAAGCATTTAAAGAGGTTTCCTTCTCACATGAAGCCCCTGTACTGTCTGAATTATTGTTGATTATAACCGAAAAGCTTGTTTTCTTTGATTCAATAGATTCTATTGTAGAAATCTTGCTGTCTGTTATTCCTTGAAAAGATGATCCACCTGGGCTGGCACTTTGTTCACAAACAACAGGAACAGCCACCATGGCTGTACTCTCCAAAACCTTTGTCAGTGGACGACGACGATTTTTTCTCTTCAGGCCTTCATAAACATTGTTAACTTGAGATTGCCTTTTTTTCAGGGATGAGCAGTAAACCCTGCTGCTGTTCACTGGACTCCCATTAGACAAACTATTGCCAATGTTAGAATCACTGAGAGAAGCACTGTCTAGTTGAACCAGCTCAATTGAGCCTTCAATGGGAAAATGCATATTGGATTTTCTTTTTAATGCCACCCTCATCCCAAGGTCCTCAAGCCCTCTCATGCGCTTAGTACCTTCAGTTCCATCGTCCTCTGAATCATTTGGGGTTTTTCGCTTCTTTTTCTGTGCATGTCCCGTAGGCATACTGATGTGATCTGGATCTTCAAATGATATACCAGATTGAGTTAATTCTTGTGCTGAATTACCTTCGGTTGAACTAACTTTCCCAGCTGTATGCTCATTCTCTTGGATTGGACCAAACATCTTTTGTGATTGTCTGCTCCAAGTATCATAATCTGTATCATCTGGATAATCCATTCTCAAGCAAAATTCTTGAGCTTCATTAGATTTGCGAGCACTCTCGAGTTCAAGGGCATGAAGAATGGCATCTTCCCTACGAGCATATTTTACAGTTTTCTTATTAAGCTGTGCTGCAGCAGCCTTTGCTTTCTCAATGCACTCGTCGTATTCACCACAACGAAATGCTTTCACCCGCTTGGATTTTTCAAGATTATACCAGTCCCTGAAGATCAAAAGAGGTAAGAATTGCTGCCTTACATCATAAAAAACACATATAATCTGGCAGTTGATGCCTTCAATTTTCAAACACTAGCTGTGGGAATTACTATGATCTCCAACTGATAAAAGTTAACATTCCAATGCTCCAATTTTACAGAAAAATCATCCTTAAAAGTAGAAAATTATCAATAACATATTGCATAATGCAGCAGAAAGAGAAGCAACTACTTAACACTCTTAACTATAAAAGAAAATGCTCAAAGTATCATCTGTACAGACAATGGAATTTTCTGATTTGTACTCGTATGTGAACTTTCTCCCACATAGACTACACTGAGATTTTACCAAGTGACCAACTAAAAATATACCCCCAGCTAAGATTTGAAAAGAACAACAGTAAACACTAAATAGTATTTTTAACAAAATAGAAAAAACAAAGGGCAGTGTTAAAGAATAAAGTACCAATAAGAAATCTCTATAAAATGTCTTTAATTGCAACCATAACCATTTTAAAATACCAAAGTCTGTAGCATGGAATCATATATTTGCTTATTTAATGTTTAGCTGTTCATTCTTTCTTGCTGGATTTTCATTTATCCTGCTAACTTCTTGGTTCTGCAGACATTGGTCATATCTATCTAATTACTTATTAAGGTTTCAAGAGGAAGAGAATTGACATACCAACACTTCTTATGACTCTCAATGGGCCTTGGCCTTATTTGGCATACAAAATCTAAAGCCAACATTCTTCAGCAGCAGGAGAAAAAAAAAACACTTAATTAGATACATGAGAACTAGATTTACCATTTATTGAACTCCATGGCCAACCCGCTCACCCACACCCTCACACCTCCTCCCCACCCCAAAAAAAAAAAAAACGAAACATTATTGATAAAGACTCACCACCAGTAATCTACTATTACCCGGGGGGGTCAGGAACAGAAGAATGTAGAACAAATGAACAAATTGAACAGAATATTCTAGTTCTAAATCATATCGATCAACAAAAAATGGGCTAAGTCGTTCCACCGATTAAAAGCAGAACGCAAAATATCAATCATGTAACTCTTGCATGTAATTATATTTTTCCCTTTTTTATTTCCTTCTGAGGCAGCGTAGAGATACCTTAAGAGTAATATATGGCATATGATAAAAAAAGTTGAACAAAGAAGAAGGAAAGAAAGAAAGAACGAAAGCACTCACACGCTAGCGTCCTCCCTTCCAAGGAGCTTCACCGGAGTGCCCGATCTCGGCGAAACCAAGCAACTTTCTGACAACTCATCCAAACCCATTATTCGCCCTGGCCACCATGACCCATTTCGTCGCCTAACCCAGACCAGGCCTCCCACAGAACAGTCGATCCCCTTCGTATTCGCCTCACAATCACCCTCCATTCGTCCCCTCTCCTTCTCTCTATGTCTCTCTCGTCCAACACAAACTAAACTAGTCTTAAAAAACAGATCTCAATCTCCATTCTGAACAGCTAAAGTCTCCAGATTCAAAAATCTCCTAACATGAACCAATGCCGATATCCTTCACCAAAATACAACCCAAAAGACGATAGAGATTAATAAAAAAATCACATTTTTGAATCCAAAACAAAATAACAGTTAAATGAAGAAAAAAAAAAAGAAGGGGAGATACCGAACCAGTGAAGGGAAAAGCTTCATGCCCACCTGAAGAACGAAGAGAAAAACAAAACCCTAGGTTGACTGTGACTGGAAATCTGGGAAAATGATGAGTCCAGAAATAATAACAGATGGGTTTTGTATGATGCAAACAAGATCCCAGTTTGTTGTCCTCCTCTCCTTCTCTCTCTCTCCTTCTGTCTGAGCGATAACTTGTCTGTGGCATTCAGAGTGTACGGGAGGGTGGGGAAGTTACGAACGTGAGGTGATGAAAGTTTCCGTTGGATCAGACCCACCTTTTGTTATCACTTTTGCCATGAGAGAGGATATGTTGCAGAGAAACAGTGTTTTTATTATTTGTTTCCTTTTTTTTCCTTTTTAATTTTCTTTCCGGAGTGGCGAGAATAAAGAGTAGGAGAGAAGCTGTTGGAGATTGGGGGTTTATAAATGCTTCGCGGAGGAGGAGAGAGAAAATGGAAACAAAGGATGCGCACTGCACACCGTGAGGTTTTGTAATGAAACCCCAGTTTCCAAGCTAAAAAAAGAAAAACAGTATCCCACCTTTAACCCAAATTCCATATACACTCCCCTGTAGGGCTCTAATATGAGGGGTTTTTGGCTTAATTATAGATTGTTTCTTTTGTGCCAAATCCTCCCTCACTTACCAGAGGAGTATCGGGCAAATTGATATTTTTTTTTTATTTTTTTTTTAAAACCTGTTCAGGGGGTCAATTTAGAGTTCTTCCACCTCTGAACCAGTCAGACCCCTGATATATCCACTGTAGAAACGTATCGGAGGGATCTCGGAACAATACGTATTAGCTGATATTAAGTTGATACATATCGATACTTTGAACCTTGAAATGGGGCATATGGAATTTATCCAAAAGAGTAAGAGATCAACAAATCTTCAATGCTCTCCACAATCCAATCCAGGCCTGATTTGTATGTCATGTTTATTTGTACTGGCACAATAGTATAAGAGTGCAAATTCTGATTTTTTTAGCTTTTACTTTTTTAGTTTATTTTGTTTGGTTGTAGTAATGAATTGAATTAAATTTTAAAATCTGAAACAAAATAAAGTAAAATCTAAAGTAAAAGTGAACCAAAAATTACATTATTTTCATTTGCATTCCCGTGTAATTGTAGTGGCTAGTATCAAATTGTATTCAAACAAACAAAAACCTTTAAAAAATAAAACCCATTCATAATCGTTGATGTGTGCAATGCCTAGTATAAAATTGTAACATGATTAGGATGAATGGATAAAGATTTTTGGGAAATTATTTACCAACTAATGAAGAGTGTCTTTGTACTTTAAAGTAGGGATGTGGGGCTTCGAAAAAAATAAGTAGAGATGAGCAAATGGATTGGTTCTATCTAAAACCAATTGGGCAATCACCTCAGATTGGCCTTGGTAATATTTGTATGTCTTGGCTGATTCGACTAAAATACTATTAAACTTGAATTCGAACTCTATTTCTTTATTTGAGTTCGGTTTGATTAAATATTCAATGAACTTTAGTTTGGCTATACACATAATATGTTATAGTATAATATTATATTACATAAAATATAAAAATGTATTTTCATAATATATTATAATATATATTTTTATATTCTATAATACATATATTATATGTATACATGTATATGTTAATTGAGCTAGGCTCGCGAGCCTTTGAACCAAACTTTTTATTAATCGAACTCAAATTCAAATAACTAATTGAACTTAATTGAACCCGAACCCAAACTATTTAATTAGAGCTTGATTCGATTGCACCTTTACTTGATAAGACCAATTTTAATCAGTTCCCAAATAAGATTAAGTTATAAATTCTTGGAATTAACCCCCACCCAAATTAGTTTCAGGGTCTAGGGGTTTTATCCTACTTGAATCGACCTAAAGAACTGGCCTTTGACCGGTAGAACCAGCTTAATTAACCTTGGTATAACCAGCCTTGGTGGAACCAAAATTTCCACATTGGAACCAAAACTACAAAGATGGGTTAGTACTTTTGAGTGGCTGTGTTAATGAAAATAAAATCAGCAAGATGGATTGGTCTATAAATCTCATTTTTTACCAAAATAAGAGTTTTTTTTTCTTTTTTTTTTTACAGATGATCACAACTTTCTACTGTTTTTGCATGTTTGCCTCGATATTTTAGGTTGCATTTGGAGAAGCTTTAGGATTCTACTTTTAAAGAACAAACACAAAACCCCAAATTTTTGGCTGCTATGGGGCTTTAAAGTATTTTTGCCTTTAAATTGTTATATTTTTAAGAGCAATTCCTAATAAATGGTTCAAGGCACATTTTTGTTCAATTTTATTTTTCACAGCCTCAAGCAAAGAAAAAAATATCAATATGCACCGATACCAAAAACTGGGTATTGATCTTATCGAATATCGATAATTTAATACTCTTTTATTATTATTATTATTATTATTATTATTATTATTATTATTATTATTATTATTTTATTTTATCAGCCTGAGAGGGATGCCTTCCACCACCCAAACTTTCAAAACCCCCAAACCCTATGTTATTGATGTATCAATGACCTTGGATATGGATACAATATGCCTAGGTTGGCCCAAAGCTCAAAAGCAAAAGCCCTATAAGTTTTGTTAATGTAATGAATTGTACTAGGGCTGTTTACAGGTCGGGTTGGGTCTGTTTATTGGCATTTTTCCAACCGACCCGACCTGGTCGGTTTACCTAGAAATAAAACCGAAACTGATCCAATACTAAGTAAAACCCGACCTGGTCAGTTTGAGTTGTTTGGGTCAATTTTGTGAATGACTCTCCCGGTGTGAACGGTAAAGATTCAAGTCTAAGAAGCGAAGGCTGGATGCCTGGAAAATGATTTGATGGATTAAAGCTGAAATTTTATATATAATATGTATATTTCCGAAATAAAGCTGAAATAAATAAATAAATAAATATATATATATATATATATATATATATATATTTCCACAAATATATATCTGAAATATATATA